CCAATCAGCAGGAGCCGGCTGTTCGGCCAGCTCGATGCTGATTGGGTGGGAAACCAGGTTCCTGGCCAATCAGGAAACCAGTAGGCGGGCCATTACTCGCAGCCCAGCTTCCTGATCGCACGGGCAGCTGGCTGCATATTCCCCGACGGCACTGCCGGTCAGAGGAAATCTTCCTCTGACCGGAAGGTCTGGTATCGGAGCATTTGGGCGAGTGCGAGTACTCGGTATCAGCACTGGTACTCCAGGTGCATCCCTAATCAGCGCCATCTGTGGGCGCCTGTACTGTACAAACAGCAACCACCCGGTAATACTGGATGGAACTTTTTATAAATTAACCCCTTACTGTTAGCTTTGTTTATAAAGCAGTCCAGAGCCCCTAAAATGGTCTGACCACCATCAATGGTCTGCTCTCTGAAAGCAGTGGTCAGACCCCTTTCGCACTGTATTGGACCTGTACTTGTGCAGATAGTGTGAGCATTTCTAATTGTGGGGCTGTATGTCTTGATTTAGCAGGGGGTATGTCTGACCACTGCAGAGAGATCGCTGTTCTCGCATAAAGAGTAGTGGTTTCTAGCTGCACACTGCTGGTGGTGGAACAGGCTGTTTAGCGGACACTGGAGCTGCCTTTCAAACAAAGCCAGCAGTAAGGCATTGAACACTTACAGGGTTATTCACAAAAGGGTGAAGAGTTTGGAGGAGGCAGGAGAAGTGAAAATCTCATTTTAAACTTGTAGATCCCAAGATGTAAATGGCTAAAATGATCAATCCTCAACTTCTCGTGTAAATGCCAAGCAGGTCCTTGCTCCTTTCCCACCTCCTGATCCTTCCCATTAGTACTTTAATGTGATATGCGGCCTAAATGGCCAATAATAGGTTTAGATTTTTCATGCCGTCACTGCTAACCTTTTTTTCTTCTGCTCTTTATCATAATATGCTTAGATGAAATTGTCCATTTTTAGTGACTTGTTCTCCCGTACCTTTTTTTTTTATTTTTTATTTTATGCTTTAACAGATCCTTATGACTGGTAATGTGCCTGATCGAGGAGGACGACCCAATGAAATCGAGCCTCCTATGCCTTCTTGGGGTGAAAGGAGGGAGGGAGGTGGGCAACAGAGGTGGGGCAAAAGAAACAAGCGAAGGAAGAATTGATCAGATAAAGAAACTTGTTTCTGGCTTCTTATTGATAATGTTTTCTGCCAACACTGTTTTGGGGGAAACTTTTTGTTGGGGATTTTTAAATCCTGTAAGAGCCAAGTATTGGCTGTTTTTGGCTTTTTTTTTTTCTACCTGCTGAGCAGGTAATATTCATGAATGCATTTCCAGATATGGAATACATTACAGGTGTCAAAACAAGAATGCTTTTCTTGTGTTTAACTAGCAGCTAGTTAAACCCCTCCGCTTTTTTTTTCTTCTTACTTGTGGCCCAATGTTCAGGCACACAGCCGCCAACCTGAAACGCCATGGGAGCTTTCTTAATGCTTATGAAGCAGTAGCTCACGAGTGTTCTCTTAGCTGTGCTCAATGGTATAATACACAGTGGTTCGCACGTCTGTCAGTTTTGACACTACAGAACTCATTCTTTTTAGTGTTTCCCCAGAGCAGGCCGGCCACTCATAAAAGCACTACTTTGCAGGCTGACCGCAGGAAATAAACTCTGTGTGCAGTGTACAACAAGGCCTCGGATCAAGCCACTAGCTTGTTTTTACTAAAGGGGTTTGTTTTTGCCTGCTAGAGACTTGCCTTTAAATCAAAGAGGAACTTAATTAAAAATGCAATTACGAGCATTTTACATTTACAGCAGAATGGGAAGTATAGCTGAGCCATGTAAGCACACATGATCACTGTACACTACATGCTTATAGTGGGTCTCCTAGAAAACTAATTCCAATGTTGAACTGTTTTTCCTTCCAAAGTATTTGTATTTCTGTACAGGCATCACATTTGGCTCCTAGACCTCTCTGCAGACTACACTTCAGATGAGCAACACAGCGTGGTCCAGGAATTGCCTCCAATCTGAGTGGACAATGGTAGAGTAGCAGCACAGTGACAAAGTCATCACTGTGCTCCCCACTCCTGTAATCCTATTCACATTTGCTTGATGTATGTTTACAAAGCCTTTACTGGTTCAGGCTGCTGACTTTCCCTCTGCAAGTCTGTGTGATGCAGCAATTATCAGGACCGATTCAGGTACCTTTGTTTCCTTTACATAAAGAATACATAGGAAGTTTGTGTGTGCCTGGGTTTTTATGTCTGGCCAGAGGTCAGCTCTAAAAGTGACACTAAACTCCGGAGTTAAACCTTAAAAATACATTCAAGTACCTTTTAACTATTAACAAAAATGTATCTTATTAATGTATCACTCGGCTGTAGATCCTCAAATCATCTGTGAATTGGTGCTGACACTGTCTTTCCTTCTGAAGGGGAGCTACTTGTGTTCCAAGCTCACTCCTGTGATGGACTACAATCTCAATACAAATTGGTAAACTATTGTAGTCCATCACGGCAGTGAGCCTTCAGCAGTGGCTACTTTACAACACAGGGCGAAACATGTCGGGATACACGGAATATACAGGAGCATGTATACAACTTTGAAAAACAGAGAGAAAAATAAGTACCATACACCTCAGAACTGTATGGTAATTTCACCAGCTGGTGAATGTACCCACATATGTTTTTTACCTACTGTGGGTTTTTTTCGTTTATTTTTAAATGTATAAAAAACGATTTTTGCAATAAATGTATTTCTAAGATTTTATTTTTGAGGTCCTGGAATTGTTTCTCAAAAGCCCCTTTTTCTTTTCTCCCTCTGGGTACCTGCACACCCCATTGTGGAAACATCCTATTTTTCTTATACCATAACCCGGGGTGCGAAACTTCCAGCACCTCTACACCTCACTTGCGATACATGTCTACTAATGTTATCCTCTACTTTACAACACACACAGGGACCATGGGGAACACAAGTAGTCACCCTCCAGAAGGAAGGACAGTGTCGGCACCAATTCAGAGATGATTTGAGGATCTACAGCCGAGTGATACACAAAATAGGATACATTATTGTTAATAGTTAAGGTACTTTAATTTATTTTTAAGGTTTAACTCCTGTGTTTAGTGTCACTTTAAGCTTTTTATAATGTATTCCTTCCCAAGGTTTGAACACTCATCTGTGAAAACAGTATAACCACAATCTGTATTACATGCAAGGTGTGTGCATTTGTGATTTTGCTCCCATAAGTAATTTTTTGCTCTGCACAGCTAAGAAATAGCTTAACGTGAGTGAACCTGTACCCAGAATATGCACTCCAAGTATTTAAAAAATCCTTAACAAGCTGTAAAACCATTTTGAAACAAGCCCTCATTATTCTTCTCTGTAGCTGCACATTGTTGAGAAATTCATTTTCAAAGTTCACAACGGAGGTGCTGAAATCTTTGCTTTTTTTTTCCTCTTACTTTTATAATGCAACAGAATATTGGCAACCTGCCAGCTGTCCAATGTAAACACACCATATGTGTTTTTAAGCTGATAGAAACCACTTTAGAGTCTTTGTTGTGATCTTTGCAAATTGATTACTTTAGAGTAGAAGCAGCTAGAGAGGTCAGGGGCTTGGTTTTTTTTTTTTTTTTTTTTTTCTTCTTACTTGTGGCCCAATGTTCAGGCACACAGCCGCCAACCTGAAACGCCATGGGAGCTTTCTTAATGCTTATGAAGCAGTAGCTCACGAGTGTTCTCTTAGCTGTGCTCAATGGTATAATACACAGTGGTTCGCACGTCTGTCAGTTTTGACACTACAGAACTCATTCTTTTTAGTGTTTCCCCAGAGCAGGCCGGCCACTCATAAAAGCACTACTTTGCAGGCTGACCGCAGGAAATAAACTCTGTGTGCAGTGTACAACAAGGCCTCGGATCAAGCCACTAGCTTGTTTTTACTAAAGGGGTTTGTTTTTGCCTGCTAGAGACTTGCCTTTAAATCAAAGAGGAACTTAATTAAAAATGCAATTACGAGCATTTTACATTTACAGCAGAATGGGAAGTATAGCTGAGCCATGTAAGCACACATGATCACTGTACACTACATGCTTATAGTGGGTCTCCTAGAAAACTAATTCCAATGTTGAACTGTTTTTCCTTCCAAAGTATTTGTATTTCTGTACAGGCATCACATTTGGCTCCTAGACCTCTCTGCAGACTACACTTCAGATGAGCAACACAGCGTGGTCCAGGAATTGCCTCCAATCTGAGTGGACAATGGTAGAGTAGCAGCACAGTGACAAAGTCATCACTGTGCTCCCCACTCCTGTAATCCTATTCACATTTGGTTGATGTATGTTTACAAAGCCTTTACTGGTTCAGGCTGCTGACTTTCCCTCTGCAAGTCTGTGTGATGCAGCAATTATCAGGACCGATTCAGGTACCTTTGTTTCCTTTACATAAAGAATACATAGGAAGTTTGTGTGTGCCTGGGTTTTTATGTCTGGCCAGAGGTCAGCTCTAAAAGTGACACTAAACTCCGGAGTTAAACCTTAAAAATACATTCAAGTACCTTTTTAACTATTAACAAAAATGTATCTTATTAATGTATCACTCGGCTGTAGATCCTCAAATCATCTGTGAATTGGTGCTGACACTGTCTTTCCTTCTGAAGGGGAGCTACTTGTGTTCCAAGCTCACTCCTGTGATGGACTACAATCTCAATACAAATTGGTAAACTATTGTAGTCCATCACGGCAGTGAGCCTTCAGCAGTGGCTACTTTACAACACAGGGCGAAACATGTCGGGATACACGGAATATACAGGAGCATGTATACAACTTTGAAAAACAGAGAGAAAAATAAGTACCATACACCTCAGAACTGTATGGTAATTTCACCAGCTGGTGAATGTACCCACATATGTTTTTTACCTACTGTGGGTTTTTTTCGTTTATTTTTAAATGTATAAAAAACGATTTTTGCAATAAATGTATTTCTAAGATTTTATTTTTGAGGTCCTGGAATTGTTTCTCAAAAGCCCCTTTTTCTTTTCTCCCTCTGGGTACCTGCACACCCCATTGTGGAAACATCCTATTTTTCTTATACCATAACCCGGGGTGCGAAACTTCCAGCACCTCTACACCTCACTTGCGATACATGTCTACTAATGTTATCCTCTACTTTACAACACACACAGGGACCATGGGGAACACAAGTAGTCACCCTCCAGAAGGAAGGACAGTGTCGGCACCAATTCAGAGATGATTTGAGGATCTACAGCCGAGTGATACACAAAATAGGATACATTATTGTTAATAGTTAAGGTACTTTAATTTATTTTTAAGGTTTAACTCCTGTGTTTAGTGTCACTTTAAGCTTTTTATAATGTATTCCTTCCCAAGGTTTGAACACTCATCTGTGAAAACAGTATAACCACAATCTGTATTACATGCAAGGTGTGTGCATTTGTGATTTTGCTCCCATAAGTAATTTTTTGCTCTGCACAGCTAAGAAATAGCTTAACGTGAGTGAACCTGTACCCAGAATATGCACTCCAAGTATTTAAAAAATCCTTAACAAGCTGTAAAACCATTTTGAAACAAGCCCTCATTATTCTTCTCTGTAGCTGCACATTGTTGAGAAATTCATTTTCAAAGTTCACAACGGAGGTGCTGAAATCTTTGCTTTTTTTTTCCTCTTACTTTTATAATGCAACAGAATATTGGCAACCTGCCAGCTGTCCAATGTAAACACACCATATGTGTTTTTAAGCTGATAGAAACCACTTTAGAGTCTTTGTTGTGATCTTTGCAAATTGATTACTTTAGAGTAGAAGCAGCTAGAGAGGTCAGGGGCTTGGTTTTTTTTTTTTAAAGCTTTTATTATTTTTTTTTTACTGTTAAGAACATGTAAATTTCTTTTTAATGTCCATAATCTGAACACGGGTGCAATTTACCTGATAAAACCATGGCTACCTGATAAAACCATGGCCACCTAATGCTTGTGTCCATAGGTGTTTTTTTATTTTGTTTTTTTTTTTTAAATCCTTTTCAGACAAATGAAAGATGAAGAGAAATATGTTTTGTCTTGTTCTTTCCTCACTAATATGTACAGTTCATATTAAAGTTAGTGTGCAGATCTCACTTGTTCTCCGCTAAGTTGTCTCTTGCAATGGATGGGGGTTATGCCATGACAGATTTTCATGGCGAACTCCTGCGCTTGAACCCAGGCTCAATGCTGTTTTCCGCTTTCTTTCAAGAAATCACAAAGTTCTTGATGTATAAAATAAAACGCTTTTAAGGAGAAAGGCTCCAAGTCTTTAAATATGCTTCATACAGTTGGCAGAACCATCATCAGCAGTTCATGGTTTTGTTGCTAAAACGCAAGGGGGCATATTTATAAAGCAAGAAATCTGACATTCACTGCAGATGAATCTTCCTGGTGGATGTTTTTTTGAACAATCATGATTTACTCACCACCAGTAAATGTTTGGGGCAGATTTATAGAGCAGTGAACGTGACTTTCACCAATGTGTAGGTAAAGCAGATTTCTTTTACAAATTGGCAGAAGTCAGTTTATTGTATAATCATTTAAATATGTCAAATGTTTTATTTCCAAAGGATTCTGTTTTTACGGAGGCAGTTGCCCCCAATTTTTCTTATCTATATGTAATGTACATATATGTTTAATTTTATTGTGGCCTGGTTTTCTGTTTAATTCATTAACTGTACGGATCCTGAATGATATGAAATACATTCTTATGGCTGATTCGTCTAAATGTAGCATTTGTCTGTTTCTTAATAGAATGTTGCATTCTGTTTAGTGTGTGTTACAAAAAAAAAAATGTACGTACCGATCCTGTAT